GTTACATTTGTTTCAGATAGGGAGAACAGTAGCTGCTGTACTTCAGGTTAATCGACTCCCCATTTTATTTATTTATTTATTTATTTATTTGGATTTTTAAGACGGGGTTTCTCTGTATTGCTTTGGACCCTGTCCTGGAACTAGCTCTGTAGACCAGGCTGGGCTCGAACTGACAGAGATCCATCTGCCTTTGCTTCCCGAGTGCGGGGGAATAAAGGCATGCGCCACCAATGCTCGGCAGAGATGGCATTCTTTTTAATTTTTAAAACTTTTTAAGAAAGGGTTTCACTGTGTAGCCTTGGCTGGCTTGGAATTTGCTCTGTAGACCTTGCTTGAACTCACAGCAATCCTCCTGCCTTTGCCTTCCTGAGGGCAGTGCACATCACTATGGACCAAGAAGCATTCTTTTAATAGGGGGTAGGGGAGTCTCACTGTTATTTACCAACTGGTTATCAGTAACTGGCCTTCAAAGAGCAGAGTCCAAAGGAGAGATTAACCATGGAACAAATTCTTTCCAGGTGTTGATTTTTTTCCCCTCAATTTTTTTTCTTTGTCAGGGTTTATGAAAATACAATGTACCCACCAAATGCATCAGACTTTGAATTACTAGAAGTGTTGTATAAAAATTGCAATGTCAGACCCCCACCACAGGTGCCCTGAATCACACCCTAAGATGGGATCTGGTAATTTGCATTAAGACTTTGTTTCTAGGTATTTGGGACTCCTGCTTCTGTGGACTTCTCAAAGATTCCCTCATCTCCAGAGCTTTTCCATATTATATCCATTCTGGAACCCTACTTCATTTTCACATATTTTAGGTAGAAAGTTTTTGGTTTACCTTTTGGGGGTGGTGGTGAAAGGTTCATGTCCATATTGCTAAATACTGTAAATTTACATGTCAATTCTGTTAATTGCAGAATTATACATACTGAAAAGTAAGAAAGGGCATACAATGAACAGCAGCCTCTTCCCCTTCCTTTGGAGCCGCGTGTTATTTCTAACCCTTTGTATGTGGTAACTGTTGATTCCTATAACAATCCAATGAGATCTGTTCCGTCCTTTTTTATAGAAGAGGCAAACAGCCTAGCAAGGGCAGGTCACTTGACTAGAGGGAGTGGGTGGGGTTTTCTGACAGTTTGTCTAGGTGAGTGCTCCTAGCTGCCACCCTCTGCTGAGTGAGCGGGTCCAAGTATTAACTGGATTAATTCGAAGAGCTTGCTTTGCAAGAGCAGAGTTCATCTTCAGGGGTAAATGCTCTATGTGCTGGCCTGGAGTTGCATCTAGCTCTGCTTGGTTGTTTATAATTCCAAAGGGATTGGTCAGCTCCTCTCTCAGTGGTATAGGCTTCAGGAGCTGGCTGTGCTGATGCAGGGCAAGGGAATGGAAACACCTGAAGCCCGTGCTCAGTTTTATCATATGGAGTTACTAACTTATTGCATGCCCGTGGGCACAGGGTGTGTGTGTTACAGTGTGTGTGTTTGCACTGTATGTCAGAAGACAACTTTGGAGTAGATTTTTATCCATCTCCCTTTACATGAACCCTGGGGATTGAACTCAGGTCACCAAGGTTGTGCTGTAAGAGCCTTTATCTGCTCAGCCATCTTATTGGCTGCGCGTGCGTGCATGTGTGTAAAACACAGTCCATAGGCACCTGCATGCACATTGTGTACAAAGACAAGCTAGCACATATGCACAACACAAAAATTAATGGAGAAAACTTACAAAAAGGTTCTTAGAGTCTTTCCTGTTTTCTGAAAGACAAGGGACTCTGGGGGTCCTAGTGACTGAGTGTTTGAATTGAAGGTCTTATTAGGCTTGTGTTACTTTTATTTTTATTTTTCTCAATGCTAGTGAAACAGTCTTGAAATGATGTAGTCTAGGCGTCTTGACTGGGTTTGTTTTCTCTGCCAATTAAAGAATTAAAGGCAGGAGAAATCTGAAGTGCAGCATGCAACAAACAAACAGTCTCAGAGAAATCTCAAGCCCAGCAGACATAATTAATTAGTTGAGCCAGTTTATCAGCAGGGGGCTGCTACTCAGCAGGCGGTTGAGGAAGATGGCCATCTTGGAAATTCTCTGCCTTTATTACCTAGCCTTGGCTCCTCCCTGGTGTCTCTGTCTACCAGAGTCTCCCAGTCTCTCTCTAGGCAAGCGCTTTACCATTCAGCTGGTGTCTCAGCATAGTCCTTAATTATAGAAGGCTTTTAAAAATTTTATTTATTTATTTATTTTTGAGGTAGGGTTTCTCTATGTAACAGCTCTGACTGTCCTGGAACTCTGGAGGCTGGCCTTGGAGGCCCGCCTATATCTGCCTCCCAAGTACTGGGATTAAAGGTGTGAGCCACCGAAGTATTTTTAAATTTAAACATTTCCTAAACTCTGACCATGTGCTGGGCACTATGGGTACCCTGACCTAGTCAGTCCCTTACATTTGAGTCAGCTTTCACAGATAAATGTTAGTTTACTGAAGATTGCACAGCTAATGAAGAAGTCACTGTTACTCCAGATGTATCTGAGTCTGAATTTAGGTACTCCTGTGTACTCTACAGACCCAGTGGAAAGATCGAGACCTTGAGAGCCCACACAGTGATTTCAGCACACTGACCAGAACTTGGAGATGGGTGGTAGATGTTAGGGGTCATTCATACTTTGCTGCTTTGTGACTTGTAAATAAATCTAAAGCACAGCAAGTCCCTCCCTCCCCCTCCTCCCTCTGTATGCACTGAGAAAATGTGTGGAGGGAAAGAATTTAATGGTAAGGAGACCATTCTGTCTTCAGCACCCCCCCCCTCACCATCACCTCTCACCCCTTGTCCTGGGAAACAAAGTTATTAAAGCCCCCTTTTAGCTATTTTTAAATCTGACTAGTCTAAAGACTGATTAAACTAGGTTTTCTAAGTGAGCAGTTCCTTAACCTTGACTTAGTAAAACATTAAAATGTTGATGGCATCTGTTCCTGACCCCTATTCTGCAATATGGGAGCTAATCCAGAGATTTCTCGTTAAATGCCAGTATTGTGCAATTGCAGAATTACGACAGGCTGGGGGAGGAAAGGCTAGTGAGCAAGATCCATGGGCAGGCACATGTAGACAGAACACCCTTTCCAGAAGAACAAAAACTCAAGTGAGTGCTGAGGCCTACCCCCACCTCCCATAATCCTGGCTGTCTTGGAACTCAATCTGTAGACCAGGCTGGTCTCCAACACAGAGGTCCTCCTGCCTCTACCTCCTGAATACTGGGATTAAAGTCATGCACCAATACCACCTATCCTCAAATGCTTTTTTTTTTTTTACCCCAAAGGAAATTCAAGAATTCTAGTATGTTGCATAGGAAGTGTAATGCAAATTGCCTTCTGCCCATGGTTCATATGGTTGTGTTTGCTGTGTGTGTAAACAAGCAGATGGATTTCCATATTTCTGGCACCTTTTTTGCTTTGGTAAGTCCAAACCCCAAAAGGACTCATCGTTTGAATGAAGTGGGATGCGAAAATAGTGGTCTTGGCCACACTTTAGGACTAGTGGAAGTGACCAGAGTGTTTCTATCCTGTCATCCTGGCTTAGGCTGGTCTCCAGCTTGCTAGGTAGTAGAGGAGAACTTTGAACTCCTGATATTTGTGCCTCTACCTCTCAAGTGTTGGGGTTATAGAATGTGCTACCATGCTACCCCCCCCCCCCACCCGTCTCCCTTTTAATCTTGGGGCATACCTGATAAAAATTAAAGACTTTGGAAATTTCTACCTTGTTCATCATTGTACATCATTGTTCATTCATGGTTCAGGATTAGGAAAAGCTTATAAAAATGTCTGATTATTATCTTGCTCCATGAATAACATGAGTTTAGGATCTATATAATGAGATATGATTAATAGTTATTTAACTCTTTGGAGTCAGGCATCTATAAATTTCCTGGTTTTATGTTGTCTTATACGGTAAGTATACTGCTATCAGCTGTGATGGCACATGCCCTTAATCCCAGTATTTGGGAGAGTGGGGCAAGCAGCTCCTTGTCAGTTTGAGGCCAGACTGGTTTTTGAAGTGAGTTCTAGGACAGCCAGGGCTACACAGAGAACCCCTGTCTCCCAACTCCCACCCCCCCAAAAAGAAAACTGTCAAGACCCATGGCAGACTTTGCCTTATGTCAGGGATGTGTGTGTCTTTGGGGATTGTGCACTTTTCAACACAGCAGCCTGCATTAGTTAACTTTCTGTTGTTGTGATAAAACACCACGGCCAAGGCAACTTATAGAGGGGAGGGTTTAGTTTGGGCTTCAGGGTTCTAGAGGAATAAAAGGGAGTCCATCACTGTCACAGTGGGAAGCATGGCAGCTGGGCACTGTGCCTGGCTGCTGGAGTAGCAGCTGGGAGCTCACATCTCAAACCACAAATAGGAAACAGCAAACGGGAATGACTCATGGCTTTTGAAGCCCACACCCAGTGACATACTTCCTCCACCAAGGCCACGCCTCTGAACCATACCCCAAATGGTGCCACAAATTGGAGACCAAGTCTTCACATGCCAAAAGATTTGGGGGACATCTCAGTCAAATCATAATACAGCTATTAGCCAAACATGACCTTTCTTTTCTTTCAAGACAGGGTTTCTCTGTGTAGTCCTGGCTGTCCTGGAACTTGCTTTGTAGACCAGGCTACACTCGAACTCAGAACAAATGTGACTTTTAAAAGAGAAGCAAAATGAAATTGTCATTACATTGGGACTGTCCTTATTTTAAGACGTCATTAGCCAGATGTTGCTGCTGGTTGCCACACTGGAAAGTGGTAATGGAATCTCCTTTTCAGTACAAAGTCATCTGGGATGGGACAGTGCTCTGCTGGACTGCTCATTTCTAAGAAGAGACTGAGGCAAATGAAAGACCAAAAAATTAGGACCTGTATCTCCACCCTCCTTGCCACCCCAAATAAACATTTGTGATTGGACTATGTCGGAAGTGCTGCTGAATGAGTGTCCGAATTTTGACGTTGTTTTTAATGTCTCTGTTTCCAGGCTGGCAGTGATGGAGAGAGCATAGGAAACTGCCCCTTCTCACAGAGGCTCTTCATGATTCTTTGGCTCAAAGGAGTTGTGTTTAGTGTCACAACTGTTGACCTGAAAAGGTAAGACATGGCTGTGGTAGGGAATTGGTTTGCAAGTGTGTAGTTTATCTTCAGCTTGGAACCCCTTCCTGCCCTTTGATTGGATTGCACATGAAGGAAACACATATTAGTCAAGTTTTCTGTTTAGGGCTAGATTTAACATGTACAAACATTAGGGTTGAGGGTGGCGGCGGCGAACACCTTTCATCCCATGGAATCTCTGAGTTCGAGGCCAGCCTTGTCTACAAAGCAAGATCTAGAACAGCCAGGGCGTCATGAAGAACCTTGTCTTGAAAAACAAAAACAAACAAACAAACAAAAAAAAAAAGTCCCTTCCAAATGATAGTATCTCCATTGGTGCTTCCGCTGCCCTTGGCTGTGCTGGAGTCTCCCTTGGCTGTCAACCTGAAACTCCCTGAGCAGCACCTGAAGCCACACTTTTAACTATGGATGAGCAGAGCCACGAAGAGCTTTGCTTTCTGGCTGACATCTCCCTGATCTCAAGTGTACTAAAATGTGAGCAATAGCATCTGGAACCCTTGCGGGGAGAACCAAGGTGGGGACATAGCTTAATGGTAGAGGGCTTGCCCAGCTAGCACACACAAAGACTGACTGGACAGTCACAGTGTGAGGTGAGCCAAGACAAGGACAGGAGCTTTAGAAAGCTGGATAATATGTGGTCTGTTCCATTGAAACTATTTTTCAGAGAGTACCGTGTTTTCTGTGATATTTAAATCAAGGCTGGTATAAAATAAGATTAATCTTGCAGGGTGGAGAAGATGGCTCAGCAGACCCAGGTTCAATTCCTAGCACCCACACAGCAGCTCACACCTGTCTATAACTCCTGTTCCAGGGGATCCGACATCCTTAGACAGACAGACAGACAGACACACACACACACACACACACACACACCAGGCAAAACACCAGTGTACTTAAAATGCAAATAAATTACTAAAAAAAAAAAACAGTCTTGCTAGTTAAAGATGTGTGCCTAGGCGTCTCTCCATAGGCCAGAGTAAGGGAAAGTGAGAAGGGTTCTGACAAGTAGGAGGCTTTTTTAAATCCAGGAACTTCTACTTTTCCTTAGCAAATATGTCTCAAGAACACTTACGTTCCCTTAGCAAATATGCCTGAAGAACACTTACATTCCCACAGTTCCCAAAGTCAGATCTCAGTAGGTCTCTGGTCAGTCAGCCTAGCCAAAATGGTGAAGTTCAGGTTCAGTAAGAGCTTGTTCTTGGGGCTGGAGAGGGCTCAAAAGCACTGGTTGTTCTTCTAGAGGACCCAGCTTCAATCACAGCGTCTACATGGCAGCTCACAACTATCTGTATGTAACACTAGTTCCAGGTAATCAGGCACCCTCTTCTAGCCTCTGGAGGGCACCAGACATGCAAGTGGCACACATGTACACATGTAGTCAACATACACACAGCACACCAAAAAAAAAAAAAAAAAAAAAAGTACCAAATGGAAAATCTAGGACCCAGCAGTGAAAATTAGTCATTTTTCTGATGGTGTATATTGAACCCAGGACCTCATATGTGCTAGGTTAACACTGAACCATCTCCATAGGCCCACATAGTTAGTGTTCCTGACATAGATACATAAATGCTCTGCCTGTGTTTACTAATTACTTTTTAAGTATTTCAGGTTGTTAATAGTGTCTGGGGAAAACTTGTGTGGCTGCCATTTGAGGGGTGGCAGAACTGATGGTTGTTTACCCTGAGAGTTGTCGTCGGGCTGTTCCCAGTTAGGTTAGCACCCTTGGGGTCTCTGCCAGTGCCTTGTCATTTACTTTTTACTTCTTCAGGACAGTTTTTGAAATGTGAAGTTTTAAAAGGGTATTTGTTAGCTGGGTGGGTGACTCTTCTTTGGGAGGTAGAGGCAGAATTGTTGTGTATTTAAGGCTGGCCTGAGCTATAGAGTGAGAGAGACTGTTTGAAAAAGGAGGAAATATGTGTGTTTGTTGAAAATAACCCAGTCTCTCAGGAACCCCTTTGGAGATAGTTTATGAATGTAGAAAATAAGCCTTTGATTTCAGATAGTAAGAGTTAAAATGACCGCGGTCCCCTGGGAGGACGTTGGTCTGTTCTTGTTGGACAGAGCTATTTTAAGAATGAAGTAAGTCATACAGTAACCCTGCTATTATTTTTATTTTTCTACATATATTAAAAAAGGAAGTTTCTCAGTATAACTCCTAAAAATAGACCATACACCGGGCACACACCCTTACTATGTCCTAAACTACATGGTGTTCTCCTGTTCCAGCTTTAGCTTGGAACAGATGAGCTGACTGCCATGCTTTGAAAAGCCTTCTTTGAACAGTTGAGTACAGTGCCTGATTGTCTAACAGACCAGGGATACCAAATCTGGTGGGGGAAATGGAGTGAGTGCATTAGGACCATTTAAAATTTACAGACTCTGCGAGGCATTATTGGGGCAAGTTGATTGAAACTTGAGGGCTGATATATTTGAGAGTATTGTATTCATATACAAAAAGTGACACACAGAAAGTAAGTATTTGGGGTCTTACAGGCAGAAAGTACCAAGGATGTGCATTTTCTATGGTTATGTATCAGATCAGTATCAGAGAACAACTAAAGTTGAGGCCTGAGGGGTTTTGGTTTTCTGGTATGTCTAAAATAATTTTCCCTCCTAGGGACAAGGATTGCAATATGGTGGCAATTCTGCTGCCCCTGGCCTCCCATGCCCAAGTACAGATGTTACAGGTGTTTGACACCACACTCAGCTTAAACTTTCAGGAGGGTAAAATGAAGGTCCACAAGGCCCATGTTGACTCCCTCCCCTCCAGCCAAGTCATCGAGCTCCTATCATGGAGATGGCTGCTTTGAGTCATGGTTGTGATGTTTATATCTGTTCAGACCTTTCCCATGCACTTACAGAGTTGTGAACATTTTTTAAAAGAAAGTAACCCAAGAAAATGAACACTGGCTCAGAAACAATATGTAATAAAGTTGTCACCAAAGAGTGAAGGACTGCATGGTATGAAATACCTTCCATAATATATACTTAGTTTTTAAAGCTTTGTGACTCTTTAGAAATCTGTGGGGGAGAAAATACCCACTGAGCTTATTTTCCTGCAAATCTTGAAAATTGCCCACTTCCGCAGTGAAAGTGCCGATCCCAGAGCATGCCAGTGCAGAGTGACGGCCCCCTGAGAGCTCCTGAGAAGCCCACTCTACTCCCTGAAGCAGTGATTGTTAGCTTTCATCCGTAAGAACAGGCTGTGTCTGGCTCGGGCACAGTGGCGTGCGTTCTGAGTCTCAGGCGGTGTTAATGATTGTGCTGGCATATGCGTGCCTTACAATTGTGAGCCTTCCCACACTGCCATAGCATGCTTCTAGTGCAGCCTCAATACTGTTGTGGGAGGTATTTCCAAGCCTTTTCTCTGTTCATGATGAAGTTGTATTAAAGACATTTTAGATAAAATGGCATCCAGGCTACAGAAAGAACCTCTATGTCAGCAATTGATATTTGAACAAAAGCTGCAGACAAACATGTGTTAGAGCTGAGAATCCAGCAGCAGACACTGTCTCATGTCATCATGTGGGGCAAGAAGTAGGGTGGCTTGGGAGAAAGGAGTAAGGCCTGGATCTGTTCCGAGAGCCCCCCCACCAGAAGTTCTCCTGAGTCTGAGGGCAAGTAGCCTCACCTCATCCAAGTTAGGACTGTGTGGATGGGCACTGTTCAGGGTTCTGTTGACTCTTCAGATCTTTCTTTCTTTCTTTTTTTTTTTTTAAATTTATGTGACCCCCCCCCCCCCAGACAGGGTTTCTCTTTGTTTAGCTCTGGCTGTCCTGGAACTCACTTTGTAGATCAGGCTGACCTTGGACATCTGCCTAACTGCCTCCTGAGTGCTGGTATTAAAGGCATCCCCCCCCCCCAAGCTGGTTTTGACCTCTTAATGAATAGAGTTTATTGGTTTACAAGGCTTGTGTTGGCTGACAGGCTCATGGCAGTAACCAGGGTCTTCATTTGAAGACTTGTACCACCCTCACTCTGCCCAGAGTTCCTGAGTCAGAGACCAATATCTCTATTGCTATTATATCATAGTCAAACCTAGGCATTAAAGGTCAGAAAGGCAGAAAGAGCCCAAAGTATAAGAAGGTGAAGGTATGCTTATGGGAGGCAGATGCAGGAGAATGGAGCTCAGTTGAGTTCCAGGCTAGCCAGAGCTACGTAGTGAGATGTCTTAAAAGACAAAACCAAAGTATAAGATTAGTGATCCTAGGAGAGGCAATCAGAAGGACACATACTAAGTCACTTGCCTCTATATAGCTGATGATCTCTGGTTTGGGGAAATGCATAGGAATGATAACGTTAAGAAGTTAATGTCTGTCTGTCTGTCTGTGGTGTATTCATGTGTGTGCAGCCAGAGGGGAATGTTGGGTATCCTGCTCCACCACTCTCCATCTTAGCCCCTTGATAACAGGCTCTCTTACTTTATGGATGTTTTGCCTGCATATATGTCTGTACCACTTGTATGTCTGGTGCCCACAGAGGCCAGAAGAGGACATCAGATCCCGTATATCTGGAGCTACAGATAGTTTGTGGCCTACTATGTGGGTGCTGGGAATTGAACCTGGGTTCTTAGGTAGGACAGCCAGTTCTCTTAACCTCTGAGCCCTCCTCTGTATTGGAGAACAGGTTTCACTATTATGGCCAAAGTTGGCTCTTGAGCTCTGCCTGTCCTTCCAAGTTTTGGGCACATGTGGCCATACCAGGATTTTACATGAATCCTGGGGATCTGAACTGTGGTCCTCATGCTTGTCCAGCAACCACTTTCTATACTGACCCATTTCCCCAGCCCTAACATTAGCCTTTTATCATAAAAAATCAGTCATGTTTGAGGCCAGCCTGGGCTACAAAGCAAGTACTAGGACAGGTTCCAAAGCTACACAGAGAAACAAACAAAAGCAGCCATGTCTGATGGAATACCAGTGATTTGTCTGTGTGCTTTCTCTTGAGAGAATAAATGGAGGTCATTTTGAAGTTTT